TAGGTTCATCGCCAGTTACAATATGCGTCATACAACTTTCATACAATTTGCATACAAATTATATCGTTATATGTACTTTTATGTTGTTTGTGTATATTTTGTATATTTTGCGTTCTTCTTCCTCTTTGAGTTTCAATATGATATTTCAGCCAAAACCAACTCTAATCTTCACCGAACACCATCAAATTTGAGATGTAAACTACAAAGGATATTCTCAATCATTTGCAATAACACTTAAATCAAAACAAATAATAATTTTACAAAAATTATTTTTCAAATTTAAAGCTTCAAAGTTTTTTTAATGGTTGTCAAAGGCTAAATGAAATTTACTTTTATAATTATTCATTAATAATTGTTATTATTATGCCACTGCTTTGAATTCAAAACTGAAAAAAATGAAGTTTATATGAACAAAATCTTCACAATGCCGATGCTTGCTGTAGTTCGAATGTGATGAAATCGATTCCCAACAATAGAGAATGCCATAATTTTAGAGAGATAGTCGGCTGCTTGTATTAGAGAGTGCAATGGGTTTTGTAACCTTTTGAAACTGATAAACGTAACGGAGGCGAGGTGGGTGGATAAGAGGCGTCGGGATTACTGTCATTACAGATTTAATGGTTATAATTACAAAAATCAGAACACAGAAGAGAGTTGTGTCAACATTACAAAAATCACTGTTGCTGAATATCGTTGATGGTGAACGAACTAAAACCATCACTTTTGTAATCCTTTATTAAAGATCTAAGATAACCCTTGTGACCCAAGAGAACTGGACGTAGGTACCACACCGGTACTAAACCGGTATAAAAATTGGTGTGCCTTTTTTTACCTTTGTATTAGTTTATTTCATTCCTACTGAATTTGTTCAATATACAAAACCTAGTCGACTAAACTCACACGTAGTCAACCAAGATTTTAATTGGCTACGATTCACTCTTCCCCTCCCTTGTACTTTCAATTGGTATCAAAGCAAGGCTCACAAAATTTGCTTAACAACTAGTGAGGAAAAGATCATGGGATCAAACACAGTTGTTGGAGTACTATTTCAAGAAGGAACCTCTCAGGTACGACCTCCATATTTTAGCGGGAAACATTTTTCTCACTAGAAAGTACGTATGGAAACATACACTATGCCATATGCTATTAAAGTTTGGCGCGCGATCAAAAAAGGAAAATCTTCCAATTACGCCAAAGAAAGATGAAAATGGTCAAGTCATAGTATCAACTGGTCCACTTGACTTAGATGACTACAATGATGAGCAATCAACCATCATAATAGTGAATGCCAAAGCAAAAAATCAGCTATACAATTCTATCAGTGGAGAAGAAAATGAAAAGATATCAAGCCGTGAAACTACCAAGGAAATGTGGGATAAATTAGAGGTCACATGTGAAAGAATCAACAAAGTGAAAGAAACAAGGATCAATCTCCTTGTTCGGGACTATGAATTATTTCAAATGAAGTATGTAGAATCAGTAGAGGAAATATTTACAAGGTTCAGCAAAATCCTTGGAGACTTAAAGTCATTTGGTAGACCAATAAAAAGCGTAAGAAAAATCCTAAAAAGTCTTCCCACGATTTGGCAACCCAAAGTTATTGCTTTAGATGTCACGACCCGGAATTCTTACCATCGGGACCGTGATGGCGCCTAACATTTCATTTGCTAGGCAAGTCAACGTTAGAGGATTCTTGAGTCAACTTAAATCAATTTTAACAACAGAAATAGTTAAGCTAAACAAAAGCTAAAACTGAGTTTGCGGAATAACATAAAACCCATAATCACTGATACAATTCGGATATGGTGTCACGATTCATGAGCTTCTAAAAGTTTCTACAAATAAAGTCTAAAAGAAAATACAACTATTCTGAAAGAAAGAAAACAGTATAATAAAGAAACTAGGAACGGACTCCAAGGTCTGCTGAGGCCAGCAGATCTACCTTGGGTCTTCGACAAGCAAGTTCAGCTGCTAACCTAACGATCAACTAGGGCTGGTACCAAAATCTGCACTAGAAATGCATAGTGTAGTATGAGTATGAACGACCCCATGTACTCGTAAGTGTCGATCTTAACCTCGACGAAGTAGTGATGAGGCTATGACAAGACACCTACATAATAAACCTGTGCAATTAATAGTATATGTATAAAATAACAACAGGTAAGAGCTAGACAAGTAATATCGGGAGGGGGACATGCTAAAGGGGGGATACAAGATATGAGAATTTCAAGAGAAATGATAACCAGAACAATCAATATGCCTTTGACCAGTGAAAATAATTAAAAACAGTAATGAAAAGTGAACGACATCACCCTTCATGCTTTTACTCTCAAACTCACGGTGAAACAATGAAACTACACAACATCACCATTCGTGCTTTTACTCTTAACCTCACACTATAAATCAATAGATATGGCACGGCATCACCCTTCGTGCATTATCTCTCATAACATGACACGACATCACCCTTTGTGCATTAACACTCACAATATGGCACGACATCACCCTTCGTGTATTAACACTCTCCCTTCCTATAAAGTAATGAACAATTAACAACATGGAGATAAAATAACAAGAACAAGCCTTACTTCTACATTTGATTCCATAATACCAACCTCAACTTTGAAATCAATACTCAATTATAACCAAAAATTCGTAAACACGATAAGAATGATCAATTTAACAATAACTAGTCTAAACGAGGATAACATGATCAAATACATCAATAATTATAAGAAATCAAGTCCCAACCGCAAGCTTAAACCCGACAATCACGCATATGTACTCGTCATCTCACATATACGTTGTACCCAATATCTAAACATGTAACAAATAAACAAACAAATCCTAATCCCTCAAGTCAAGGTTAATCACGACACTTACCTCGCTCCAAAGGGCCAATTCAATACTCAACCACGACTTTGCCTTTCAAACAAGCCTCAGAACTAATAGAATCTAGCAAATTACCAACCAAATGATTCAAATTAGGCCTTAGGAACTAACCACGATTACAAGGAATTCAATTTAGGTCATTATTGAAAAAATCAACAAAAATCAACACCCGGGCTCGCTTGGTCCAAACCGAAATTCGGACCAAAATTTGATTATCCATTCACCCCGAGCCTGCTTACGTAATTTGTTTTGGAATCTGACCTCAGTTTGAGGTCTAAATCACCATTTTATAAAAATCCCTAATTCTACCCAAAAAAAAAACCCAATTTCCACTATGAAAATACGAGATTTTAGGTTGAAATCTTAGGAAATATAGTGAAAGATTGAAAGAAACTAGTTTAGAATCATTTACCAATGATTTGGGGAAGAAAGGTTCTTTGAAAAATCGCCTCTAGGGTTTCTTGTTTTGAAAATTTTGAAGAATGAGCAAAATTCCGTCTAAGTCAAGTTTTGATCAGTTGCAGATGTCGCATTTGTCACCTGGAGTTTGCAAATGAAAGCGTCGCAAATGCGAAGAATCCAACGCAATTGTGAAGACACTCACATCTCTGCATTCATCGCATTTGCGATGAAATGATCGCGAACACTGATCCTACGCAAATGCGACCATTTGATCGCATTTGCGATCACTGCCTCCACCTATCCCATTTTGCAAATGCAAAGAATTTTTCGCAAATGTGAACATCATGTGGCCCAGCTACTCTTCGCAAATGCGATGAGTAGCTCGCAAATGCTAACCCATCAGAGGTTGCAAATGCGATACCTGATCTCGCAAATGCGAGATCAGAGGCCTGCACCAGAACTAAAAATACCAACAACATTTCTATGTCCAATTACACTCTGTAGTGTATTTGAAACTCACCCAAGCCCTCGGGGCTCTAAACCAACCATGCACACAAGTCTAAAAAATATCATACGAACTTGCTCGCACGATCCAATCACAAAAATAACACCAAGAACTACAAATTGAGTACCAAATCAATTGAAATTTTCAAGAAAACTTTGAAACTTTTTTTTCACAACTAGACATCCAAATCACGCCAAACAAACTTCGTTTCTCACCAAATTTCATAAACAAGTCATAAATATGGTATTGGAACTATACTGGGTTTCGAAACAAAAATACGGACCCCGATATCTAAAAAATTCAACTATTGGTAAACATTTCAAATTCACTAAGCCTTTAACTTTCAAATTTCAACAAAGTCCGATAACTCGGGTTAGGGACTTTCGAATTCTATTCCGGACACATGCCCAATTCTCAAATAACGATATGAACCCACCGAGACATCAAAATATGATTCCGTATCCGTTTTCTCAAAACGTTGACCGAAGTCAACTCAAATAGATTTCAAAGCTAAAATTTCATATTATTATTAGTTTTAACATAAAAGCTTTCTGGAAACACGCTTTGACTGCGCATACAAATCGAGGAAGGATAAAATGAGATATTTAAAACTTCGAAATGCAGAATTAGGTTCAAAAATATAAGATGACCTATCGGGTCATCACATTAGAATGTCAAGATCTTGACAAGATGTCCTATGATGAACTTAGAGGTGATTTAATTACCTTCGAGAAAACTCACTTGGACAAGCAGATTCAACAAGAAAAGAAGATAACAGTTGTATTAAAAGAGACTATGGCTGAACCAAAAAATAACGAGGAAGAAGAAGGAGGAGAAAATGATGAAAACATAGCCATGCTTTCTCAAGTTTTAACAAGCATGATGAGGAAAAACAGAAATAACAAGAGAGGTAAAACAAACTTTAGAAAAGAAAGGTTGAATAATGATAATGATAAAAATGATGGAAGGTGCTATGAATGTGGGAAACATGGACACATTCAAGCCGAATGCCTCAAACTAAAGAAGAAACTCAGCAGGAACTTTTGGAGCCTGAATTGATGAAGATGAATCTGACCATGAAGACATTACAAATATATGTTTCATGGCCATAAAAGAAGACAACAATGAAGACTCAGATGAACTTGGGCTCATGGCAGACAAATGAACGTATAAGGAAGAAGACTCAGGTGAACTTGGTCTTATGGCAGATGAAGGAACTAGTGAGGAACACCGCAAGAAGAATCCCAAAGGAAAATGGTATCTTGACAGCGCGTGTTCCAGACATGTGATTGGTGATAAACAGTTATTAAAAATGGTCACCAAGCTAGATGGAGGAACAATTACCTTTGGAGATAAATCAAAGGGAAACGTAATTAGAGTTGGAAAGGTTCCCCTCAGCTCAACATGTGATTTTGATGAAGTATACATGGTTGATGAACTTGGTTACAATCTTTTCAGTATCAGTCAACTATGTGACAATGACTATGAGGTTCGTTTTAAGAAACATAGTTGGTTTATAGAAGGCGAATCGGGTAAAGTTATTCTCTTTGGTAATAGAGACAGAAATGTCTATACTATCAGTAATATAGATAATCTTGATAATCAAATTTGTCTAGCATCTATGATTGGTGATCCCATGGTATGGCATAGAAAGCTTGTCTATGCTAGCATGCATATTATTCAAAAACTCTCCAAATATGACCTTTCATTGGTCTTCCAAAACTATATTTTTCTAAAGATCATATTTGTGATGCATGTCAATTAGGTAAACAAACTCGTTCTTTTTTCAAAGTAAAAAATATTGTCTCTAATACTAAACCTCTTCAATTCTTGCATATGGACTTGTTTGGTCCAACTAGAACTGCTAGCATTGGTGGTAGAAAATATGATTTTGTTATTGTAGATGATTTCTCTTATTTCAGTTGGGTTATTTTTCTAAGTCATAAAGATAAAGCTCCATGGAATTTTGAAGTTTTCTGTAAGAAGGTTCAACGTGAGAAAGGTTACTAAATTTCCACTATCAGAAGTGACCATGGAGGAGAATTTGAAAGCAAGACATTTATAAACTTCTGCAATGATCAAGGAATCTCTCAGAACTTCTCTTCACCAAGATTACCTCAATAGAACGGAGTGGCAGAACGTAAAAATAAAACATTGCAAGAACTATGATTGTAGAAAACTCTCTACTCCACCACTTCTGGGTAGAAGTTGTGAGTACATCATGTCATATTATTAACAGATGTCTAATTCGGCCCATTCTTAAAAAGACTCCATATGAGCTATGGAATGGTAAGAAACCCAACATTAATATTTCCACCCATTTGGATGCAAATGCTTCATTCACAATAATGGAACGGACAATCTGGGTAAGTTTGATCTAAAGAGCGACGGATGTATTTTTCTTTGATATTCTCCCTCAAGTAGAGCATATAGAGTTTAAAATAAAAGAACCTTATGCATTGAAGAATCAATTCATGTTGTCTTTGTGGATACTAACCTTCACTCAAGGAATGAAAACCTTCTTGAAGATGAGGAAATTTACATAATGCCAAAGTTTATCAATACAGGCCTTATGCATTGAAGAATCAATTCATGTTGTCTTTGTGGATACTAACCTTCACTCAAGGAATGAAAACCTTCTTGAAGATGAGGAAATTTACATAATGCCAAAGTTTATCAATACAGGCCTTATGCATTGAAGAATCAATTCATGTTGTCTATGTGGATACTAACCTTCACTCAAGGAATGAAAACCTTCTTGAAGATGAGGAAATTTACATAATGCCAAAGTTTATCAATACAGGTGAAATCACTCATGAAGAAATGACTGATCAGCAGGATCAGTCAACTACGAATTTTTTAGAAAATCAGGAGTCTACTACAACCGATCCAACTAATTCTATCAAAAAAGAGCTAGCATTAGTTGTCCCAAATGAATGGAAGAGTGATCCTGGATATCCATATAAGTATATCATTGGAGATCCACAGGAAGGACTGAAAACTAGAATATCACTCAAGAAGACATCGAATATTGTTCCATATCCCAGTTTGAACCAAAAAAGGTGGACGAGGCACTTGGGGACAAAAGATGGATAACTGCAATAAAGGAAGAGCTTGATCAATTTGAGAAAAACCAAGTATGGGAACTCATTCCTAAGCCACCAAATGCATCAATTGTTGGAACAAAATGGGTATTCAAAAATAAGTTGAATGAATCTAGACAAGTAGTACGAAATAAAGCCATACTAGTCGCACAAGATTATTCACAATAGAAGGGAATTGATTATGAGGAGACCTTCAACCATGTTGCCAGGTTAGAATCAATTTGCTATCTATTAGCCTATGCTGCTCATAAATGTTTCAGACTTTTTCAGATGGATGTGAAAAGTGCCTTCTTAAATGGATTCATCTCTGAGGAAGTCTTTGTTAAGCAACCTCCAAGATTTATAAATGAATCCTTTCCACATCATGTCTACAAATTGTCCAAAGCATTGTACGGCCAAAAGCAATCTCCCAGAGCTTGGTATGAAAGGTTAAGTTCATTTTTGGTTGAACATGGGTTCGACAGAGGTAATATTGATACCACTTTCTTTATCAAATGATCTTCTCTAGGTAATTTAATCGTAAAAATTTATGTAGATGATATTATTTTTTGCAGTACTAACCTAGTTTTATGCAAGGATTTTTCAAACATCATAAAAGGAGAATTTGAAATGAGTATGATGGGAGAACTAACTTTCTTCCTTGGACTTCAAACCAAGAAAGTACAGAAAGGGATCTTTATTAGTCAAACAAAGTAAACGAAAGAACTCATCAAAAAATTTGGTATGTCTAATGCAAAAGCCATAGGAACACCTATGAGTCTATCAACCACTTTGGATGAAAACATAAACGGTAAGAGTGTTGATGAAACAATATATCGAGGAATGATTGGGTCATTACTCTATGTCACAGCTAGTCGACCAGATATTATGTTTAGCGTTTGCAGATGTGCTAGATATCAGTCGGATCCTAAAGAATCTCACTTGACTGTTGTTAAATGTATGATCAGATATTTGATAGGGACAACCCGACTATTGTTTGTGGTATAAAAGTTTAGAATGCTTTGACCTCAAAGGCTTTTTCAGATGCAGATTTTCCAGGAGATAAACTTGATAGAAAAAGCACAAGTGGAATGTGCCAATTACTTAGAAAATCCCTTATATCCTGGCACAGCAAGAAACAAAGCGGAATGGTCCTATCCACCACAGAGGCAGAATATTTGGCAGTAGGCAACTGCTGCACACAAGTACTATGGATCATGCATCAACTGTTAAATTATGATTTATGCCTTAATTTTGTTCCTATTATGTGTGACAATACTTGTGCTATTTGTTTATCAAAAAACTATGTGCATCATTCTAGGGCAAAGCATATTGAGATTAAGCATCATTTTATACATGATCATGTTGCTAAGGAAATAATGTGTTAGAATTTATAAATACTAAAAACCAGTTAGCAGATATTTTTACAAAGCCTTTACTTGAAGAAAGATTTTGTTTCCTTCAGAACAAAATTGGTATTTGTACAATTCCCTTATAACTTTGTTTAATGTTTTCCATAATTGCATTAGTTCATTTCCATATATCTCGTTGTTTTGGCCCAAAAAATCTAAGTATTTAATTAGTCTTCGTATGCATTTATTATGAACTGACGACAGATTTTGTAGAAGGCAAATTTTCAGTTGCTTTTCATACATCTCTCGGGAATCGAGTCGACCTCTCTTAATCCTCTTTAACCCCTCTTACCTCGAGTATATCTTCCATTCTCTCAAAGAAAACAAACTCCTATCCATATGTCCTCTTCTGCTCATGGCTAAAACCAAACTCTCTCCGTCCTCTTCCATGCCCAGAAGAAGCCACCGGTTGAAGAAAACCAAAGATGACCCTGTTGATATCGAATCCTCCAAAAGTACAGATCGCTTACTGACATATAAAGATTTGAGTGGCTATCAAGAAGACATCCTCATCTCCCAAAAGAGGGCAGGAAAATGACCAATGGAGTCCATCCCCAAACAATCCTCTTAGAAAAAGGAAAAAACTGGAAGTGTAGAGTTTGGTCCTTAAGACAAGATGAATTTCTATGGCCTTGAAGAGAAGGCTAGGTTTGTTACCTTCAAAGGGAAATTGTTTGCTTTTGGCTGCACTGTACGTTAAAAATCTATGTAAAACTCTCACTGTGATGTTCTGTCTATTTTTGAAACTCGGAAACTTGTCTCTCTATTTGCTACTGTTGGTGATGCGGTCTATGAAGATCATATGCGAATGTTTTATGCAAATTTATTTGTGAATGATAAAGACGATCTAGAATCCACGGTCTTTGGAACTCGTATTATCCTTGATTCTTATTAGTTTGAGAAAATTATTGCTACAAAGTTTGTTGGATACAATTTCCTTGTGCAACATTCATGGCCAGATAATTTTGAAGTATATTTTGAAGAGGCCAAGAGTGTGCTGTCTGAAAACCCACCTGATATAGGACCAAAGAACTGGAACTTTGAACATCGTGTTTTAGCCCATATTAATGCAACAACTCTGCTACCTCGTACTGGCTCTCTGTGTACTTGGTCACTCAGAGATGTATTTGTTTTGTATTGTTTGGTGAATGCTAAAACTATCAATTAGTTTGCTTGGATACGTCAGTACATGCTTGAAAGTATCAGGGATGTTTCATCTGCTACGAGCAGTCTTTCCTATGGTTTACTAATCTCTCACATCTTGAAAGTCATTGGCATGACCCCAAATACCCGGTCATGATGACGCCTATCACGTTATTTGGCAAGCCAACCCAAAACCATTATTCACATCGAATTTCTTTTATAAAACCATTCTTCTAACACGGATTTAAATCCCAATTTTTCATAAGAAATGTATAAAACAGACAAAATGTGCGGAAAAAAATAAAACAGTAAACCAACACAGCCCAAACATCTGGTGTCACGAGTCTAGAGCCTCTAAATATACAAATCTGACTAAAATGCGGAAAAAAGGATAGAGGAAGAAAGCAGGGCTGCAGACGCCAGGTAGCTACCTTGCAATCTCCGACAAACTCCACAGTTTAAAACCAGTTTTGTCATAAAATCTTCAGTTTCAATTGGAATTAATTGAAATCATCTAGTTAACAATTTTCAACAGAGGATTATTTTCAAAGAAGAGTGAAATCAGTAAAAATATTATAAATGGGCCATTCGAGCAAGGTGTCACTCAAAATGTGGCCTCTCGGGAAGCCTCTCAGTCACTCGTGACTTAGCTCTCTTCGCTTAGTACTCACTCCCAACATTCAGGCTCATTAATATCTCATAATAGTAATAATCATAGTAATCGTTGTGGCATGTAACTCGATCCATAGTTTATAGTCGACTACGCTCACTGGGGGTGTACAGACTCTGGATGGGCTCCTACAACCCAAGCGTCATATCATTGCGGCGCGCAACCCGATCCAATATATATTGGTGTGGTGTGCAGCCCGATCCATATAAGTATCGTTGCGGTGTGCATCACTATATATNAACAATAGAATTTAGGGGAAACTCAGTCCAAATAGTCCTCACATTTAAGAAGTAGGGCGATAAAACTAATTTTAAACAATAAACAGGTAAAACATGACTGAGGATATGCTCTCAAACAAATAGAGTGAGGAAAATAGTAGAAATGCCCCTAAGGGTCTCAACAGGTCGTCACAAGGCCCCAAGCATGGAATACAGCCCATAATACATTGTAAATGTCTAAAATACAAAATATTATAAGATTTCAAATCAAATATGCGGCTTAATAGTCGCTATGGGACGGACCAAGTCACAATTCCTACCGGTGTATGCCCAGACGCCGGTCACCTAGCATGTGCAACAACAACAACAACAACAACGACCCAGTATAATCCCACAAATGGGGTCTAGGGAGGGTAATATGTACGCAGACCTTACCCCTACCCCGAAGGGTTTGGAGAGCATGTGCATCACCGCATTTATCAAAACAATTCAAATACCGGAGTTTTGTACCCTCAGTTCCAGATTTACAAAGGTTACTTACCTCAAACCGGATGAAAATACTACTCTGCGATGCCTTTTCCTCTCGCCTCGGCCTCAACGCACGCCGAATCTACCCAAAATCAGAATTATAACACTAGAATAGGCCAAAGGGACGAAGCCCATGCAAAATAAATCAAATTATACCAAAAATCCCGAAATTGGCCAAACCCGACCCCCAGGACCACGTCTTGAAACTCAATAAAAATCATAACAATGGAATCCTTATTGTCCCACGAGTTTATACATACCAAGAATACTGAAATCGGAGTCCAAATGACCCATCAAATTCCCATTTTAAGATCTCTTAATCTCAAGCCCTAATTCCCAATTTTCTTCCTTAATTTCCACTACTACCATGATTCAACTATGGAAAAATGATCATAAACCCAAATAATGAAGCTTAGGAACTTACCCAACTGATTCCCTTCGATTTTCCCTTGATATCACTGCCCTAGCTCGCTTCCCGTCTTAAAAAATGGAGAACTTAGCAAAATTTCGCGAAGGAAACAATATATACCTTCTGGCCCAAGGATTCTTCACCTGTGGCCCAGATACCGCTTCTGCGGTACCACATTTGTGGTCAATGAGCCGCTTCTGTGGCTTTTCACTTAAATCCGTAGCTTCTGCATCTGCGATGAACATTCCGCACCTGCGCCATCGCGGGTGCGGTCCCACAACCGCTTCTGCGGTTCCTGCCTTTCCTAGGACCTTCCGCTTCTGCGACCACTCTTCCGCATTTGCAGCGTCGCAGCAGCAGTCCCCAAACCGCAGGAGCGGTAACAATAGAAACAACAAAATCTGCAGCTCCTTCAAACTCCCAAACTCTCCGCCAGCCCTCCGAAATCACCCCGAGGCCCCCAGAACCTCAACCAAAAGCACAAACATATCCCATAACCTTATTCAAACTTATACCAATCTTCAAAACACCTCAAACAACATTGAATCTACCAAAACACATCGGATTTAAGCCCAAATTTCCAAAATCGTCTAATTTACGCTTTTGATCAAAAACCCAACCAAAACGCGTCCG